TATACGCGAAGCTCAATTAAGCTCGACAAACTTTCGAGTTTTATATATTTAACTCAAACTCGACTCATTAAGTAGGTCGAATTTAGTTAACTCAAGTTCAAGTTCGAGTTTTAACTGAGCAACCTTGCAAGTTACTTGATTAAATTCGACTCGTTTGCACCCCTAAATAGAACACTCAGTTAAAAGAGATATGAATTTATTAGTTTTTTTTCCTAAATGTATAGCTAATTATAAAAATATTGCAATATAAGGCATGCAATAATTGAGATTGCGTGTATTCAAATCCTTACCATATCTTGAGCAGTTCTTGCTGTCCAGACGGTCACTTATTTTAAACATTTCATTACTGTGTAAGATGAATACAGCACTTATTTTGAGGCAATTTATAGCAACACTTGTTTAAGATGGTCTTTATTTGACGAAAAGCTTTTATTTAAGATGGTGAAAGTTGAAAATTGCAGGCAGCAACAGATAAATGATCTTGAGGTTCCCAAGAAGAAGCTCGAGGAACTGACTCACACCTCCTCAATCACTTGTAAATTAACACGGAAATAATCCATTGCAAGAGATTTGTCATCCCATTTGTCCATATTGGCTTCTGATTATGTTTGATAAAACAGAGCCCACGTTCATTGTTGGATCCCCCAGGATTCCAGGGCAAAAGGAATCTGTCAGAGAAGATAGTTGACACCCATTACTTGCATTATTTGTCTATGGGTTTTTCTAATAGTGTCCTGTCCTCGGAGCATTCATTGACTCGTCCAATATTATATATATATATATATAAATAATTACTATTTTTTCTTACATTTATATAATTTTTTTAATTAATCTCCTTGTATTTATATACTTTTCATTATTAATTTTATATTTTTAAAAATATAACATTTGAAATACATCTTAACGAGTATCCTATCCATCCATCAGGCGCCCCATTAGGCTGACTACTTGTTTATTTTTTTTTCCTGCAAAAACCCACATTACTCTTATCTCGATTTGGGCAGCCATGATGGAACCTTTGTGGGATAAGGCCTAATGGAACTACTTTTGGGAGTTTACACTCCAAAAATTATTTTTACTTTAGTTTCACCAAAAGCTCATGGTCATGTAGCTAATGACAAAGATGGAAATGAATTAAGCATTCTTGGGCCATTGCACTTGCAGGATTATTATATGTTTGATAAAGCACAATATGGAGGGCTCATTATAGGAACTTGAAGCATTGTTGGCTGGATTTTGACCACTTAATGGGAGAGGCAAGCTCACAAAATCACAGCAAACCTTTTCTCAAGTTTGTCATAATGATTTCGATATCTAATGTTAGTTATTTCTTAGTAAAGTAACTTTTCTGGTCTACAATGACCTCCACTATCCATATTATGTTTTTTTTGGTAAAAAAAAAAAAATAGTTTGGGCGGAACACGGCTACCACCACGAGTTAGGATATGCTTTTGGCATTATAAGTCACTTATAGAGATTCATACAGATCGCTTATCAGTATATTTCTCGCATTGACGGAAGGATTTGAAAACACGACTCTTTGTAAGAAAGTGACTATTTTTATTAATTGAACCAACTTGTGTTGGTACTATCCATAGTCGCATTCGGTAAAGAATAAAGATACTTTTGGGAGTGTGCAAGACATTTGCTGCATTAGTGGTTAGGTAGAGTTAAATCACCAGACGTAATTTTTGAAACTAGGAACAACATAAAATGAATTGGGATGGGAATTAGGTTAGTTTTCAATCAAATATGATCAAACCCTTTTTTTTGGTTGGTATTGGAGGATTCTTTTCCTCTTTTGGCATCATTTGAATGTGAAAAAATTGTAAATTTGGTGCATGGTAGATCAGTCAGTGGTAGGGGAACTTGACGGGGATTGAACTACCATCAAACCAAATAGGTATACCACATATCCGTATGAATTTAAGATAAATCTTATATTGAACCACATTGATGGAAGACAAGATTTGACCCTTGACCTCCCACCCCACAATTAATGTAGTAGCCAACTCTTCTAGAGTGAGTTGGTTTGGTAAATCAGTCAGTGTTGTCATTATCAAACTTAGATTATTTTATCCTACAGTCTTGCAAGATTACTTGCTCGAGCGGGACACTAAAACTTGATTGAGCAACTCTACGGGGCTACGGGTGTGATTCTATGTCAATGGCAATAATTTGAGCGTCTATTTTCATTAAGAGCACTCTATTTAGCCCAAAAGGATGTTTCTGCGGCGGATTAACCCCGACGAACAGGATTCTGTTTGACCCGTTAGATTCTGGGCCACGGTCCTTCCATCCAACCTAAATAAAACTTGGCGTGCATTGACTCTCAAATGCTTAGGGATGGCAATAAGGGCGGTGGTTGGCGAGAGGTGGGGCAGGAGGTAGGGAACTTACCCTCGCCCCCGCATATCACCTATATTTTAATATAATACAATATATATGTATATTTTTATATGTATAATATATGAAATAAATGTTATGTTATTATTATTATTATTATTTAAATATATTGTATGAAATAAGTAACATGTTATGTTATTATAATGGAATGACGTATAATTTTTTTTTCTTTATAAAAACTTCAAAAGAGTGATTGATAAAACTATTATTAGATTTGCATTAATTGAAAAAGTTAAATCAACTAAAAACAATAATTATGATAGTGGGACCTGCAGAACTAGTGGGGTAGGACAGGGACAGGGCCGGGGCAAACTTTTTTCCCCGCCCCAAAACCGCTTCATTGAGATCCCTACAAATGTGCTTTGTTTCTGATGGAGACGGGAAGAGATCTCCTTTCGTGCTGGTATACGGTTAAGACTTTGGTGCAGTTATATTATTATTATATTATAAAAAGATACTATAAATATATAATTATCACTAAGTGAATTAATGTACGTTTAATGTAAGGGATAATTTCACAAACCTCTCCTAAGGTTTTTAATAATTACAGAGAGCTCCCGTCAGGTTTTAAAAATTACATATACCTCCCCTTCTTTTACTGTTTGGTAATAATATAAGTCCAACAAGAAAGATTATCTCACAAAAATTCAAATTGCCCTTTTGTACAAAAATAAGAAAGAAAAATATAGTATACACAATCATTTTCTTCCACACCTTACACAAATCAACAAGTCTAATTCTTAACAAATATGCAAGCATAAGTTCTAAAATCAAATAACAATCCAAAAGATCTCAATTTGCATGTACAATATCAATACTTGCAATCTAAATAAAAAAGAAGAAAACACACACACAACCTCCATTGACAACTAATTTTATACCTCAAAATTAAATATTAATGCTCAAATACCTTTTCGATACAACTTAATTTGACTTTTAACTCCTGTAGCCTTAAAAATATTAATATCTCAAAAGTAGAGAATAAATTCTACCTTCACAATAAAATAATAATAATAATAAATTCCCAATCTAATTAAAATAAATTCTTATGTAATTATTAACATTTTATATAAATTTTTTTTGTCAACAAACAAAATATGACAAATTTCACATCTTTAATGCTTTTTCCTATTTTAATCATCAATTTCATTATTTATTTCTCTATCACTACGAGTCTCTTCATTTTCTTCTAGTTTGACACATAATCTACTTCCTCTATTGATTTTGTAATTTCAATTTGCTAGTATTCACAAAATTGAAGATGATAAAAAGAGGTTATATTAACTAGAAAAGAAAGGGGGGAAAATAGACAAGAGATAGAAAAATAGATTTTTTTATTTTGTAAATTTACTGTCTTAAATTTAAAATTGTTTACCAAGTGGAGGGCATTATAGGTATTTTACTATGCCAAAAGAGGTAAGTATAATTTTTTAAACCTGAGGGGAACGGGATGAAACTGTTAGAAACCTCAAGGGAGGTTTCTAAAATTATCCCTTAATGTAATTTTGTTATACACAAAAATTTAATTTGTTTACACAAACTCCCTAGTGTATATTAAACTCCAAAAGGAACAAACAACAAGCGTATCAACCCCAATTGCAAAAGGCAAACTCATGGATTGAGGTTAATTAAGTGCAACCGACAACATAAATGGTTAAATACCATTTCTTTTAGGGTTACTTTTGACATTATCATGAAAGAATTGTTACATAATTTGTTTTTTGGTAACCGTATATCTAGTTTAGCCTAACCTACTCCTACCCCTACACACGAGGGAAGCCTACTCTAGGAGAGTGGCCCAAACCTGATGGGGACTGAACCATTAGAACTATCATCAGACAAAATGGGTGCACCACGCATTTGTGTGGATTTAGAATAATTCTCATATAGAGGCACGTTGATGGGAGGTAAAGTTTGAACCCTTGAGACTTCCCATCTCGCAATTAACGTGGTGGCTAACTCGTCCAGAGGAAGTTGGTTTGTTACGTAATCAAAATCCCAAATATGCCACTCTATCTTTTTAGTGACAGACTACCAAATGCCAAGCTGATCCGGCAATCACATAAAACACAACTTACTTAAACAAATAATTTCAGGTCAATAGTTTTTGGCATATTCCATCTACAATATGATACTGGATTCATTTTTTAACCTCTTATCTTCATGTTAGTAATGCCAAGTGCCCTCATCATCAAGTCTAACACTTTGAACAATTCCATTCAAAATTAAAGAATTGTCAACCAGTACGTTGGAATTATTCAACTATGAACTTCCCTGCACCAAACCAAGCCTGGAATAAAATTCTACTTATGCACTTCTGATTAACAGAGAAGCAGTCAAAAACCTGTAGTTTTTGTTCAATTTTTTGGGTTTAGCAAGAATTTTTTACTTGAAGGCTTGATTAATCACTTTTATCAGCTTATTTTCTCCGTTGCTGTCTTATTCCGTCATCAGGGTCTCAAAATCTTCAGTTCTCCGAGGACTAGGTTCACCATTAAGAATTCGCTATATACATGCATGCATCCATGCATGTATGCGCGCGCACACACACACGCACATATATATATAGAGAGAGAGAGAGGGGGGGGGGAGGAGAGAGAGACAAACACACACCTCTGTGGCTAAATGAACATGCGAGAAGACATAGAAATCAAATCGATGCTGACTCAAGAAGGTATATGTAGTTCAGTACTTATTCCTGGTCTTGGTCAATTGTTATCAAGTTTTCTTGGTAACTTCCACCTTAATATAATTGTACGACAATTGACTAAAGCTTCTGATTTCCATTGCAGAGCTTATGCATGCTCACTTTCCCAGAGAATTTTAATGTGTTTTCTGTCCCTCTCCCCAGAAAGTCTCACCCTCATATGGACTTGAAATACTCTGAGGCTGCATTTAGGTAACATCCTAGCTATTTCATAGAAAAAAACTCTTTGGTCAATTGGGTGTTTTTTAATTTTTTGGGAAAATAGACTGTGTCAAACCAAATACAAGTACTCCTGTGCAACGCAAAACATGAAAGCCTTTTAAATACCGAGTTTTGAAGTCAACCAGCAGCTACTCCATATGCATTTCATGAGCTACCAAATCTGTTTTACTTCAGAGAGCTAGATAGGTGAGGCAGAAATAATGGAGAAAATGCTCTATGATGTCGCTGCGGACGGTGATGTTTCCACTTTTGTTCATTTGCTTCAAGAAGATCCACTTCTTCTTGATAAAGTAAGTTTGAATTGCCAGGATAAGAATCCTCTGCACATAGCAGCAATGCTGGGGCATGTGGAGTTTGTACAAGCAATCTTGGGAGCTAATTCTGATATGTGCTTGGTTCCTGATCGATTTGGGAGAAACCCTCTACACATTGCAGCCATCAAAGGCAGATTGGCGGTATTGCAAGAGCTAATTCATGCTAGGCCCCTAGCAGCTCGAGAAAAAACAGAATGTGGAGGCAACATTTTGCACTTGTGCGTCAAGTACAATCAGCTGGGGGCTTTGCAGATTCTAGTCCAGACTATAAGAGATCATGAGTTTCTGAATGCCAAGAACGATGATGGCATGAGCATTCTGCATCTGGCCGTTTGTGACAAGCAAAATGAGGTACCTCTGTTCTTATTTATTGTTTTTATAGAACTGGCTCCCATAGGATGAAATGTTTAGATGAAACCCTTGATTTTACGATATAGATTAAAACTTTGGTAAAATACTTCCATCTCGAGGAAGTGTTGGATGGAGAGTTGGAGACAGCTAGTGTGAAACTGAAAAGATCAAGTCTAGTTTTTCAGTATTGCTTCTAATTGACTTGAAATGGAAATGAATTGCAGACCATCAAATACTTGCTACGGAACAAGGTAGTAGATGTGAACACGAAAACTGCAAATGGGAACACTGCTTTAGACCTTGTTCAGGGAGACATTTACTCAGAAATTGCGCGATCTCTTGAAGACGCTGGAGCCAAAAGAGCCAAGGACATATCTCCCTCTGCTACTGCGGGAAATGACGGGCATGAAAATAAATCACACAGCCAGCCTTCACCGGGCGGGGATTGGCTAGCAAGGAAAAGGGATGCACTAATGGTTGTGGCCTCACTTATTGCAACAATGGCATTTCAAGCTGGGGTGAATCCGGCTGGAGGCGTTTGGCAAGATGACAAAACAGATTATCCCAATCCACACAACGCGGGTGAAGCTGTGATGGCACACAGCCATCCAAAATACTACAAAAACTTCATCCGGGTTAATACAGTAGCCTTTGTTTCATCTCTGAGCACAATCATGTTTCTCATCAGTGGTTTGCCCTTCAGGAGGAAGTTCTTCATGTGGTGTTTAATGGTGATCATGTGGTTGACCATTTCAGCAATTGCTTTAACTTATGGCATCTCGATCGTGATTGTAACGCCAAAAGACTATAGAAAACAATTGAGCCATGTCATCGAGACTGCTGTCACGGTGTGGTGCGGTGTGATGGCGCTCTTGCTGTTGGGGAACACTATTCGGTTGATTAACAGGTGGTTCAAAGGTCGTGGTAACAATGTGGATCGAAGAATTAAACGTGGGATCGATTCTTCAGTTCAATCGCAAAGCAATGATAAGAATGACGGTCTTTACATGTGTTGATACTACTTTGTGGTAGAATTTGACATTTCAAAGCTAGCCAAGTGATACTCTTCCATCGGCCAGTTGATCGAGTAATGCTGCTTGGATTCCAACTCAAAACAAGAAGAGTCTGTGTATTGATGGATTTGGCTGGACTTGGTTTCAAATCCTCACCCAAATCCACTCTACTACTAAGTGTTGGATTTGAAATCCTTAAAAAGTTGTTGGATTAGGGTATCATTTCGAATCCTTTCTTTTACATCTCTTAGTCTCTCCCTTTGAGTAATGCATCTTGTTTCTGTAAGTAGTGAAGAATGGATAGCATGCAATGACCATAGTATTTGATTTAACTTTGTATTGTTGAGTGTGGTTTTAGACCTCACCTGCATATGCTGCTTGTGATAGTATTGGGTTCTAGAAATTGTTTATGTCATTTAAAATAGTGAATTTGAAATAGTCAATTGCCATGTGTAATCTGAATTATCTTTAAATTTATGGAGAAATTATCTTATAAAGTTAGTTAAACAAATTAGTTGAGTGAATATTTATTGGCAAACATTGTGTGAAATTGCTATATGTATCAATATATTGTTTAATCTATATTTACCAAACTAAGTTACTTGACATAGTTAAAAAGAACATAACTCAAATGAATAGATAAATGTTGTTCGAAGAAAAATTTTCACTTGTTTAGTTAGTTAAGGGAAGACTTGACTGCAAAATAGGCAAAGCCCGTTATTAAGCAATTGAGTTACTAACCCTCTTCAATTATGGTACATAGGAGAGATAAATCACTTAATTGAAAACCAAATTCTTAATTGGATTTTTTTAAACAAGCGCTCAATAGGCACTCGTTAAGGCACTTAAACCACACACAACCTTCCATGTGAATCTGCATGTTAACCAATATTATCCTCTCTTATATTTATATACTTTTTCTTTTTAATTTTATCAAATAAAAAATGTAATACATGAACCACATCTTAACGAGTGTCCGACGCTGGTTGGACAAACCCTAAATGACTTTCTATATACACTAGTATTTTACCCGTACATTAGCATGGATTATTTGTTGTTTTGGTTAGTTATGAATCTGCACAAGACATGAATAATCACCAATGAGATCTTATATATTGATTCATATTTATTTCAAAAAATATTGTATTCCAAATGCCCAACTGTCAATTTTTAAAAATTTTTTATGTAAATTTATTATAACGTGATAGTATTCATTATATCTTAGGATGCATAACAGGTGTTCTTTAAAATGGTCATCAAACTTTATAATGAGTATACACCTACAATTACCTATTAGTTTTTAGTTAAAGACAAAAAAAAAAATGCAACAATCAATTTTATCAAGAATGAATTTTCAATTTCGAGCAATATTATAATATTAATATTACCAATGTAACAATTAAATTCGCACTAAGAAAAGTTACTATATATGGATAGAAAAAGTAGTTCAAATTTATTGAAACAGATGTAAGTTGTTAGAAGAGAGTGTGATACAAAAGTAAATAAAAACCAAGTATTCATTAGCCCTTTAATTCTTTTTTTTTTTTTTGTAACCCGGAACATGCTCCGATTCGAACCCTTAGAACTCGAGTCGGCACACCAAACCGGAGGAGTACGCCACGGCCCCATGCAGTGATCTCAGGCGAGTCACGGGGGTTCAAATTCAAGGTAAGATTAGAACTTAGGACCACAAGAGTCCTGAAAATCCCGCTTACCATTGGACCACCCCGTGAGAGCTAGCCCTTTAATTCGCTTCAATTAAGCATGCCACAAAGGAGAGAGAAAATAAGCATATACATACACATATATAAAATAGATTCTACTATCATATTATAATGAGTAAATCTTATATATACTGACGGTGTATACACTATTATAGTTGGATATACGACACATATGCAAAATTTAAGTTTGAAATTCAAATTCGAATTATATGTAATGTATTTAATGGTGAAAATGTATACACTATCAGTGTATAGAAGATTAATCTATTATAATTGCCAACTAAACAGTGTAACTGAATTAATACAAATTTCAAATGAATTCATTTCCAATAATTCATAAAATCCAAATTCATTTATTGCAACAGGAAGATAAACTGAATATATGTTCATTTAAACATGATTATATGGGCGTATTATGAGCTCTTAGATAAGACTGTCAATCTGACTAGTCTCGTTTGAGTTCAGCTTGAAAATTGAGGATTGTGCCTTTTGTTTAACTAGACTGGATATAGTTTGGACCTAAATATTAGGCCGATTGAAAGCGAGCTAAGCTTGAACCTTATTAAACTCAATCCAATTATAGCCTGGTCCAAGTAATTATATATATTTAAGTATATAAAATACATAATAATAATATATGTAATCTATAACTATGCATATTATAACTTAAAAAAATTATTAGTCTAAAGAGAATCATATAGTAATACACAAATATTAAACATATACTACCACATGTAGTTATGCATTAATTGTGAATTTCGATTGAATATGAGCTAAGTCTCAAACTCTTAACAGTTTTGTAAGTCGAGTATGAGCATCATAAATTTATAATGATGAACTCAATCCCTAGCCCCCGCGTGAACGGTCCAGCGGCAGCACCTCACACCAGTGAATCTTGAGGTCACAAGTTCGAGTCTCTGCTCCGCTGGATTCTTCCGCGCACTTAACGTGTTCGAGCCGGGTTGGGGCGCCGGGCCCGGGTCACAGGAGATTAGTCGGGGCGCCGGACACCCCTGTGTCGAGAAAAAAAAAAAAAAAAAAAGAAGTCAACCCCTAAGCTCAAAAGTTCCAAACTCTATTTCTTTTGTGAGCTGAGTTGAACTTGCTAAAGTCCCGCTTGTTAAGTCCGATTGATAGACTAAAAAGGATTGATTTCACACGTTGCGTTCACAAGCCGTGACTTTTTCAGAAAATCAGTGTTGAGCAAGAATTGAGAAATTCAATCTCCATTTCGTCTCTCAAAAGCTGTCCTTCCTGACAGACGCGTCCTGGTCTAAGCCTCTCTCAAGGTTTACCAAACTGCGTGTTAATCTATCTAGTCATCATCACAAACTAAAATAATTCTGAGTAGAAAGTGGGAACCTCCTGCTTTTTATTTTACAGATTGCTAATTCGTCGTCACTTTTGAAGACACTTCTCTGAAGCTGCCTTGTAAGTTACTACAATCTTCTAGGTGTTTACTGGAGGTAAAATACTGTGTCCGCGTCTGCTGTGATATTGCACTATGGCATTTTCTTCTTTCTGCTCAATGACTCTGTCAATGAACAAATGGAAAAGAATAGTAGAAGACTTCTTGAGAAGTCAAGTAAACGAGCCGAGCAGCAAATACCTTCCACCATAGATAAATCTGTCTTGAATGGCAACAAGGAGAACCCAATTTGAGAGGCTTAGACAGAAAAGTAGGGAGGGAGAAATTAAGAAAAGGCTTAGACAGGAAACTAGAGAGGAAGAGATGGGGGAAAGGCTTAATGATGCTGCAGTTATGGGTGATGCTGAAACCCATCTGCGTGATGCTGCATTTAAGGGTGACGCTGCAACCCTTAAGCGGCTAATTCGAGAAGATCCACTTCTTCTTGATAAAGTTAGTTTGAATTGCCAGGATATGAATCCCTTGCACACAGCAGCAAGTTTTGGGCATGTGGAGTTTGTACAAGAAATTTTAGAAGTCAATGATGAAATGTGCTTGGCTCGTGATCCACGTGGGAGAAACCCTTTGCATCTCGCAGCTATCAAAGGCAGAGTGCCGGTCTTACAACAGCTGATTCGTGCCAAACCCTTAGCAGCTCGAGAAAAGGTTGCCGGAGGAGGGACCGTGTTACATTTGTGTGTCCAGTATAATCAGCTCGAAGCTTTGAAGTTTCTGCTCCAGACCATTAAGGATGATGAGTTCGTCAATTTGAAAGATGGTGATGGAATGACCGTGCTTCATCTGGCAATTTGTGATGGGCAAAATAAGGTGTGTTTTTAAGTGTACTGATAAGTGGGCATTTGTTAAAGTAAATCTCTTTTAATTTTTAAGCTTCACCTCAATCTTGAGTTCATTTGAATGACTAGTGCAATTTAATCTTGTTCTTAATTCTCAGTTTATACAATCACATTACCAATTCACATCTTCCTTAATTGTATCCTGCATCTTGCTAGTACCATTTCAAGTTTTCTGCTAGTAGTGATTTCATGAACAATGAACGCCTACAATCTTCAACAAATGAAATTTGCATTTAACTTTGATGAACTGGGCAGGTAAAAATTGTACTTGAATGAGCTAGCTAATGAACACAAAAGTAGTGCCAACTCAAGCATGGAAGTGGAAGTTTCTGAATCTTCTTAGCTCTATATGACTGACTTTGAATTGGCCTATCCAGTGACTTTTTTTTATCTAATTAGCTTGAAATATATATATTTATTTATTTATGCAGACAATCAAATACTTGTTAGACGACAAGAAAGTGGATGTGAACGCGAGGAATGCAAATGGGAACACCGCATTAGACCTCCTCCATGAAGAAGCTGACTCAGAAATTGCACAATCCCTCAAAGACGCTGGAGCTGAAAGAGCCAAAAAAGACATAGCCGGCAGCGATTGGTTGTCTAAGAAAAGGGAGACGCTAATGGTGGTGGCCTCACTAATTGCAACAATGGCATTTCAAGCTGGGGTAAGCCCCGCTGGAGGTGTTTGGCAAGACGACTCATTACCAGGTGCAGAACCACATACTGCAGGAGAAGCAGTGATGGCATATAAACATCCAAGATACTATCGAAATTTCATCAGAACTAATACGGTAGCCTTTGTTTCATCTCTCAGCACAATTTTGTTTCTCATCAGTGGATTACCCTTCAAGAACAGGTTCTTCATGTGGGCTTTGATGGTGATCATGTGGTTGACGATTTCAGCCATCGCTACAGCTTATGGCATATCGATTGCTATAGTAACTCCGAAGGATCACAGGAAACAGCTGAGCCATGTAATTGAGACTGCAGTCACGGTGTGGTGTGGTGTGATGGCGCTCTTGCTGCTGGGAAACACGATGCGATTGGTAAACAGGTGGCTGAGACGTCGTGGTATAGATTTGTTCAAGAAGGTAAGACATCGGAATCGGGATGTTCAACCACAAACCAACCATGACCAAGAAAGTCTGCAACAAATACATTCCAGTTGATTTTTATGTACTATCCTGCAATTCCAATTCTGATCTTCTGTAGATTGTACAACTTAGTTTTGTAATATTTTTGAGATGAGCAAAAGAATTGGTGAAAATCCATCTATGTTGTGTAAGTGTGAGAGAATTATAAACGTAATTACGATCCGGATGTAGCTACACCATTAAGTCCTAGTCCTGACTCCTAATATGGAAGGACGTGGTGAACCTTTCGTAGCCATATAGAGCCGAACTTTTTCTTGAAGAAATGAACATTCTTGGAATCATTTGGAATAATTATTG